TTGCAGTGGTTACAAATAACTCTGTGGTCTGAAAGACATGTAAAATGTCCATGTAAGAGTTCGGTACATTTCTCCATGTTTCTGTCCCTGCCACTTCGTTTCTGTTTCCGTTCATGTGAGCGATGCAGCAGTCTAAGGCCCGCCCCAAATGCTCTCATTGGTTCAGACACATGATACGCCCATTCTAAGCGAATACTGATCAACATCCCGCCCCTCCTGTGACCCATGGTTTGTCTGAATGTGTATTCAGAGTCAGTGATCAACGGACTTTCAAAATAATAATATTAATAAAGAAAACTGTTAATGCGCGATAAAATAATTGTCAGAGTTAATTCATTAATGCATTACGCGATAATAACGTGCTATCTTCCTCCGCTCTAATTAAAAGTAACAACAAGCGATTAGCTATATGCATGTGTTACGCTAGACCACAATAAACTTTATATGTTGTAACGACTTGAGGTGACTGTTATGTGTTGTTGTTACATGATACAGTATCTGTTTTTACGTTTTTTCTTGAGTTTTTCAAGTTTTCGGTGCTTAGAGGCGGCTCCGATGCTGTGGAAACAGGAAGAACCGGAGCTAAATCAGGCTCTACAACGGAACTGGCTTTGGAACCAGTTTGGTGGAAAGGGGCATAGGAGTCACCGCTCTCTAAAGGAAGGTGATGAATGGGACCCTCACCCTGCTGGTAATGTTTTCATGTTCCAACTTTTTTTTACAGGTATATAAACTCATGTTAACAAATGACAGAACATCTGCCATTGGGGTGTCCTACTTGAGTTTATCGTAATCACAACAGACATCTGTCATTTTTAACATTTGGGGTAGTACCCATCAAAAGTACTCATAATAATATATGAATGTATCATGTTAAACATAATTTAAATTAATTAAAATCTTTATGTAAAAAGACATTAAATGTTTTGTAAATTCAGATTGAATTGACCCAGCGGTAGAGATGAAATGTTGCCTGTGTGTGTGTGTGTGTGTGTGTGTGTGTGTGTGTGTGTGTGTGTGTGTGTGTGTGTGTGTGTGTGTTAGTGTGGGAAAGGTCAACCGGGTGGACATGTGTTGTCTGTCTGCCCACTGGTGCCAGCCATGACATGGGCCGTGGCCTCCCCGGGATATGGGTGGTACAGGGCGGTGAGAAACTAAAGTGTCATGCATGTGTGTGTGTTTATCCAAATACACAAACATGTAGAGCCTCCTTGTGTTTTTGAATCTGTATGTGCAGATTAAATACATATGTGTGTGTGTAAACCCACTGGTCAGTTAAACTCAGCTCTCATTGTCCTTGATATGGAAACCCCTTCCTTTTCCTCCCTGACTGGTGACAATTCTATCTCACTCTCTGTAGTCCTTGGCTGTACCTTCACGCAGTTGGCATGAAACTGACAATGAAAATGTTCTCTACTCTAGATTAAAGGTTGGGTAAATTCCAATCTGTTGCTTTTGTGTGGCAGTTAACTCTTGAGGTGTAACACGGCTAAAGTGTGCCAGCTCTCCATCCTCTAATGGCGCATTTCCATTGCAGGGCCTCGCTCGGCTTAGTACAGTATAGTTAGGCCTTGTTAGGCCTTGTTAGGACGGGCTCACTTTATGCTGCCATTACAGTTTAGTAGCTGGGGCAGTAACTATAGTAACGCAGTGTAGGCGGAGCCGTGACGTCATCTTCAATGCGAACCACAGAAAAACAACATCAGCTGTTAGATGTTAGCACTCCAGCTCACAGTTCCTCATATCTGTTCAGAAACTAGACAAAAGTTAAACAAGTACAAACCACAGACTGTCTGTGTCATAGCGAATACAGTCGCTGGTTTATTCATGTCTGTATAGGCCGTTGTTGTGAGTGTGGACGGTCGGAGCTTAAACAGCGTTAGCTTAGCCAATCTCCATTTAGAAAACACGCATTTTAAAAGGTTTTTCGCCTGCCGTCTGTCTGCAGACTTGTCAAAGCATTAATTCATGGTTTTTACTAACCGGTATCAGTATGTTGTTACTTCGGCATCAGCCCACATCTTAACAGTGTTAAAATAACAGCAAAAGAAAACAAATAATAAATGAAATTCCCAAATATTACTAATTTGTTCTGCTGGATGAACATTGATTACCCTTCTGTCAGTATTGTATGTGTTTTGATGAATCAAGAGAAATTACATTGTAAATTAAGAGGAATTTCACAGTAAGTGTTGGGTAATTAACAAGCTGCAGATGCACGTGTTGCCATAACAACAGTTTTTGACCTATCCAATATAGTTCAAATTACAATCTTTGGAAGTGGAGGTTTGAAGTCGGTACGTAAATAACTAGAGGACTTTTACCAATGAAACTGCTGGTCAAGACTCATTGTGGACCATAACCGGGAAAAAATAGGTGTCCCTCGAAAGGTAATGGAGAATGATGTTTAGCTGTATGGAACATCCTTTTCTAGAAGACAGGGAGGGTGGATAGTGAGCACTGATATGAGGGTGATTGCATGTTACTTTCAATAAAGTATTTAACTGCAGTTAGTAGCAGGATGAAGAAGTGACCTTAGCATTCGGCCGTCAGTTGGGCGTATGAGGCACTTCACAGGCAGCAGGAAACTAGCAAGGTCTTTACAGCTAAAACAAGCGAAGCTGCTTTAAAGGGGCCCTACTATGCTCACTTTCAGGTCCATATTAGTATTTGGTGCCTCTACTGTGACATGTCTCTATGCTTTAATGTTCAAAAAGCTCTTTATTTTTCTCATACTATCTGTGCTGCAGCACCTCTTTTCACCCTCTGTCTGAAACCAGAGCCAAGTCTGCTCTGATTGGTTAGCTGGCTGGATCTGTTGTGATTGGTCAACGGCTTAGAGATGTGTCAGAAATGTCCCGCACCTTAGCAAATCTCGTACAATATGTTAGAGCGCTAGCCAACAGAGACGCAAGTGTTACCTATTGATGCCACTATGTTCAAGAAGTAAACAAAGGAGACCAATGGAGGCGTTTCTGAAAAGGGGGGAGTGTGTGGGAGAGAAACTCTGGGATTTTAGCCTTTGCAAACCATTACAGAGTATTACACCTATAACACACTACGGGAAAGGGAAAGGCCCATAAAGCATAGTAGGGCCCCTTTAACAAGTGCAAACAAAAGTATAGAGCATTGTCACACATATTGAATTGAAAATAAGACCATACTGGGGCTGTTGTTAGTGGCACTGACCAAAACTTAATAAAGTAAGTACACCACATGGTTACTACGGAAACATTGCAAAGGAAGGCTGGAAAGAGCTTGCTTTGATTTGTTGTCAGGCACATATTGAAGGCTCCCTCGGGTAAACTTAGTGTGGGCAATAAAGATAGATATGAGGGAAAATATTTACGGACACTGAGCCGACTTCAGATAACACAGTATGTCACTGCATTGGATTTACTCCATGGTGCCCACTGCCAGGCCTCCTAGCAAAGATCAACATCTTAACATTGAACATTCCCTCCTCAAATAAAAACACTGAACTGATCATTTATTTATATAACACGAACAAAGGATTTCCATCCACGTACGCCTCTGTCACATCCCCTCCACCCGGCTCCATCACACCACACCCCTCTCATGAGGGGAAACAAGGAGGACTGGAGTAGAGCCCTGTGGGCAGCACTTTTTCAAACATGCTGTAATGCCAGTTGTAAATCAGTTTGCAGATCTCTAACTAGGTCAAGATTACAGCTGACGAGTTCCTGATTATTCTAGTGCACTGAAATATGTTTATCTTTCATCAGATGAGTCACTCTTTGTCACTTTGGGCGGGAATCTATCGGACGTGATCACATTCCCTCAATCAAAACTCCACCTGGAAACTGAGCAGCTCAAGGAATAGGAATGTGGGTTTATGTAATGTCATTCTTGTCTTGTCTTTGTTTCTGCACCCTGTGGCTTTAGGAAGTATGTCCTGCCCTCTTGTTCCTGTTTCATTACAGTCAGGTTCCCCTCTAGGGAAAGTGGAAGGCAGCTCTCTTCCTCCACTTCAAGCTGAAGCATGATGATGGATTTAGATTGTCAGACAATTGTCTCTACCTGAACGGTTATTATTGTACCTTAAAGGAAGTTTGTATGCATGAGTCAGCGTTTTTCCTGAAAGGGGTTCTTCTCTAGGTTCTATAATTAAATACATTTTTACTGTAACTGGTGATTTGTTCTTGGTCTTTAAATCATCTCATTATTCTCTTGACTTTGGTGATTCAGACCTAACTAAAGTATACTAAACAACTAAGTTAAATCTAAACTAAGTTGCACGTTGTGAAACCTAAATAATAAGTCGAAATATATTAAAATACTCCAAAAAGCTGAAGGGAGATGCTGATCTTAGTGAGGTTTTTCTCATTACACATAACATACTGCACATAGTCATTTGATACATTATTAGTGCAATAATAAAGAATTGGTGTAGCTTTTTTTTGGAGAATTTGACAAATGTTCCCTATTTTGATGTATTGAATAACACAGAACTAGTCTTTGGTATCTTGTCTGTTTTCTGCTAAATCTAACACATTTATATCGTAGCGATAATACAATATAAATATGCTGAATGAAGACATGTTCTCCTACTTTTTAAAGCAGTTTAATTCAAACCCTCAGACGGCGATTCTAGGAGTAATGGACGATATGTTACGTCTGAATGTTTGAAAAATTACAATGAAAAGAGTATTCAAAAAGAAAAAAAAGAAATATATGTTTAATTAATAACGTACACAATATTAATATGACAACATAAGTGAATACCACTCGAAAGTACCTGCTCCCAAAAAAAATTACTTAATATTTTTCTCCTTTCCGGTTGACTTTTGGCAGAAGTTTCTCATGAAACCTTAATATCATCTAAATCGAGAAAGTGAAGAGCCACTCATGGGAGGGAATTATGGGATCTCTCTCTCTAATTAAAAGTTCACGTGCGTGTGTGTGTACGTGTGTGTGCGCGCGCGTGCGTGTGTTTTGATGGGCCAGTCTATTTGAGATAAGGCTCCTGGCTGTTTGGGGGTTGAGCAATCAGACCGGGGCTTTAACCAGTGGCCTGAACGGAACTTCCTTCCTCGCCTGACAGCAAAAAAACAAAACAGCAGTCTTTTATAAATGGGGACTATGTGGAGCTGTCAGTCGCTGGTTCAGATTCAGAACGTCCAACACGGTTTCCACCATCGGCAGCTTCACTAACATCGACATCATGGTCGCTACACGGCTCTTCTGTGCGCTTCTCTTCTGTGCGCTTCTCCTCTGTGCGCTGCAGGAAACGGTGCCGTCGCAGCGCGGACATTGCACCGGGAACCAGTGCTTTGCGTTCTTCCCGAGCCCCCTGGACTTTCCAGGCGCGAAGAAAAGCTGCGGAGACTTTAAGGGACAGTTATTAAGTTCCAACTCGAAGCACTTCTTGAAGATCCTGAAGGCTGCGCCCACAGGGAGGTACTGGTTTGACTCAAAAAAAAACTTCAGGTCGGCGGGGGAAGCCCTCCAGATGTGCCCCTCCATCTCCGTGTCGAACTCCTCGGTGCTGTGGGAGCCGTGCGGAGGCAGCCTGAGCGGGTTCCTTTGCCAGTATCCGATCCAGGAGCCCTGCAGTGAAGTGCCAGCGGGCACAGACATACAGGTGAACAGTGGTGAAGGGTATACTAACAAGTACTGGGCTTTAGGATATTCAAGTAGGGGAGATTGGGGACGGTTGCAACATATTTTATATTTTACTCAATTATTCAGAGACTGTTGGTGCCAGACCAACCCATTTGTTATATTAGACTTAAAAATGTCTGCTAAATAGCCAAACCATTTAACAGTGATTACATAGGATATATATTCACAATATTCAAAATGAAGAAAGTCATATATTGCAATTGACGGCTATACACGTTCATTTTTCCTTACATTTTGAGGTCTACTCGTTATAGGTATTTTTCACACATTTTTGCTTTATAGGCTACTTCTAGTTACTTTTTAAACGGGTAGCACATTTTTAAATTAAATGGCAATTATTTAAATATTGCGATTGCGATATACAGTATGTCACGATATTGTTGCAAGTAATACTTTCTTTTTTCGTAATCAGTCTAATTTCTATAGAAGAATATATTACAATGATCGTAGTGGCATTTATTTTTTGCGACGATCTGTAACGAGCAAATATATTTTCTTTAAGTCTGTAGATTTGTAGCCGGGGACGTCTCTAGCAATACAATATATTAGCATATTATATTGCGATTTTGATAAATATTTAAATCAATTGTTCAGCCTAACTTTTACATTTTAAATGTATTTTACAAAATAAATCAACTAACAACTAATGATGTTTTAATATAGAATAAGCTACCTAGTTGACCTTTAACCCCCCTTTTAGCATCTCCAACATGCTAACATATTAGCATACATAGCATTATGCCTAATAATTCATTTTGGTACTTTACGAATATTTTATGCTAAAACAATTATTTCTTTATTAGTATTTGACTGCAGGACTTTACTTCTAACAGATTATTTCAACATGGTAGTATTGCTGCTTTTACTTTAGTAAAATATCTATATATGCTTCCCCCTCTGCAGGTGAAGTACACCTTCGAGTTGTACGATTCGAAAATGTTCCAGATGGGAACCATCGCTGAAGCACGAAAGGTTGGCGCCAAATATCTAGACTCCAAATATGTGTGTTCCTCAAACATTTGGATGCAAGCTCCCTGGACCTGTGAGGTGTTTCAGGGCGGCTGTGAACACAACTGCAGTCCTACAACACACAGATGCACCTGTCCTGTTGGGAAAACACTCCACCACAACAACATTTCCTGCGAGGAAGGCATGTGCGAGAAAAACCGGTGCGCGCGAGAAGGCGAGCAGTGCCAAATCACCCCGGGAGGATCCAAATGCGTGTGCAAAGAGGGATTCGAGAAAGAAGCTGGAGTATGTGTGAACGTGACAATCTGTGAACATTGTGAGCACATGGATTGTAAGAAATTCAACGGGGTTTATGAGTGTGTGTGCAAGGAGGGGTTTTTGGTGTCACCCCAGGACCCAACCAGGTGTGAGGTGATCTGCATGGAGAGAGACTGCAAAGCCATATGCATTAAGGGAGACAAGGACGAGTCTCAATGTTTCTGCCCCAACGGCTACATTTCAGACATGAAGGACAACAATTCCTTCTGCACGGACATCAATGAGTGTGAGGGTTGGCAGTGCGATCAAGCGTGTGAGAATTTATTTGGTGGTTTCACGTGTCTTTGCTTTGAGGGGCATTACATGGATCAAGAGAAGAACAAGTGTGTTCCCATTGAGGATGAGGGATCAGGCTCTCATCTTCCGTACCCGACCCCCGTCGGTTCTCACCCGGCCTCAGTGCCCACTTACATCAAGACGGGCAGCGTCCTGGGCATCACTTTATTCATGGCGCTGTGTGCATTGCTGCTGTTTTTCCTCATCCGAAACGCAGTCAAACGGTGCGGCAAATTTGAGCTTTCCACCTTCAAACACCCAGATATTGATATTTTCTACCTGCAGCAGGTGACCACAGAGACGTATAAGAGGCTATCCTTCGACAAACTGTTTAAAAATGACTGCTAAATACTTTATTTAACGAGTTTAAAGAACTATGCTGCTCTTACACTTTTTACAATGTCACTTTCCACTGGTTCATGTCCTCTGAGACACAGGCAGTGTTAACGGGAATCTGATTATTTATCCATAACGCTGCACCACACCACACACTGTAAAGTCATAGATATTGGACTTGCTTTCTGAATGTATTATAGATTGCTTTATGGAATTGTTCCCACTGTAATTTGCCCAATTCTTATGAGCCTTGTTGTTACAAATGTAGAAAAATGAAAACATTTCTTTCTCAGTAAGGCCAGTTTACTAAATACAGTATGACAAAGTCTAATAGCATTTTTTGTATGATACCTTTTATAATCATGGAGTGTTAATAGATTATGTTACTACAGAAGCAATAATTTGATACTTTTTCGCTGTAAAACACACTGTGTCCTGATACTCATACACACATTGCAAATGTACTGTAACATTCCACATGTTGTAATGATTACACTGTTTGTATCAGCTATTTATGATTTTTTTTTTGATTTTGGTAGAATAACATTTGAAACTTTAAGTATACAAAAAAGTTGTCTTTAGTGAAGTGCACATTATTTTAGTGCTTTTTTTTAACAGAGGGCTAATGACTCACCATGACGAATGTTTGCTAATGTCATATGTCGTGTGATGCATTTGGATCTATGACATTTGATACTAATGCTCAGTATGTGTAAGTTTTGTCCGGACCACTATTTGTTTTGGGATGAGTTGGTTGCTATAGGAACTGTTTTTGATGCATATAACTAATGTCCCGTGAATCATTTAACATTCTAAAATCTACGAAGTTCATTTTTTTTTAAACGTAAGGAAATACACTAGAGGTAAATACCTTTAAATCCATAGTTGTACTACTCATACTCGAAGCAAGGATTCTCCACTCCAGTTTTTTTGCTATCTTTATTCTAAAGGTTTTTACAGAGGGGAAAATTCTCATTTTATTCAAAGCCTAAGTAATATAACATTGTATTTAAAAAAATGTAATGGCTGTTGAATATTTACTGATTTATGGAACGATAAAAAGAGAGATCATACCTTCTGTAAAAAGAGGCTTGAGTGATTAACTAAACAATGAATGCTATTATGTCAATGTACATGCAACACATTTAGATAAGACTTGTGAACTGAACTGAAAAAATAACTACCTTCTTTGCATTGTCACGGTTCTCTTTTTCTCCTAATTATATATATATATACTGTACATTTTAGTCATAGAGCTGGCTGGAATCAATAGTACACAATAATAAAGGTTTGGAGTAAATGTGATAGATTGACAGGATTTTTCATAAACAAATCTGTGTTCATGCATTTTGTCCGATAATCAACATATTTTAAGTTTGTATTGTCTTATCCTCTACCATATTCTGACGTCTTTTGAAGAGTGTTGGGGAAATATAGATTACATGCAACGATTATGTTATGAAATGACATATTAAATGTCATTTCAATCAGTTACTGATTAACAAAATGCAATTAAATGACAACAAACAATGCAAATGTTGTTTCTTTAAAAAGGGCTGACTTAAGAGCAAGATCTTTTTGTTAAAAAAGTCTTTCATTCTGTGGTCCATTTTTATCAAATGATATCAAAAAACATTTATTAAAAGTTTGAAACAGGTAGTTCTGTTAAGAGGACTTCACTGAGGTTTCAATTTAAAATGTTAGGACTTTTCAGCTTTATTGTCCAATTTAAAACCTGTATTAGAAAGGTTATAACATTTAGGAATACACTTTTTGAATTACTCAATTTACTAAGAAAATGTACAATACAATTTTAATATATCATTTACAACATATTACATTTCCGAAGTAGCCTTCCCAGGTCTGTTTTTGAGATACAATGACAATAATGTTAATAAAATGTCTGAAAAAGTCTAAATATTTGTGGTCAATTCTGTAACCTTTAAGAACTTTAAGGAAACTGGTTCTGAAGTGTGACCGGCAGCCTTATTCCCCATAGTGCAGAGTGGAGTTGGGAGGGGCTACTGCGAATGGGGGGCGTTGGGGAAATGCCCCCTTTGCGTGCACGCGGATTCGTTGCGTACGTGCGTAAAAGTCGTGCGTAATTGGGGATGTGGTCCGCCCTGCAAAGGAGAAAGTTTTTTCAGTGGGCAGCGCGGCGGGCTGATCAACTGCCTTCCTCCGCCGGGACAACTAAACATGGAGTCGGGGGGCTATAAATGCGAGACAAACATCTTCCCAAACAAAAGGCCTATGGACTGATGGAACGCACGAGATCTTAAACGGACAAAACCGAGGCTTAAAGATGAAGGAGGTTACGCGACATGTTGTTTTCTTGTTGACTTTCCTGATGGGCAGCTCCAGCGGGATAGAGCTGAATAGCGTATACTGCCTCGGGACTCAGTGTTTCTCTGTGTCCGGGGATCCCAGCGACTTCACCACCGCGCGAGACCAATGCAGAGATCTAGGCGGGCATTTAATGACGGTGCGCTCCTCGGTGTCCCAAGATGTTCTGAATATTCTGCTGGGGAACATCACGGGGCGGTTCTGGATCGGGTTACATCTCCCGGCCGGCTGCCCGGACCCTGCTGCGGATCTGAGAGGCTTCCAGTGGGTCACCAAAGACAGCGAGAGTGACTTTCTCCACTGGGCTCAGAGTTTTGACAGCAGCTGCTCCGCTCATGCCTGCGTGTCAGTTTCCAAAGAGGACGACTTTAAATGGACCCAGGAGCCATGTGCGGAACATGCGTCTGGGTTCCTCTGCGAGTACAGCTTCAGTGACCCGTGCAGAGGGCTGGCTGCTGCAGAGGGCGAGTATGTCCTCTACAGAACCCCGATGGGGTTTATGGGAGAGGATTTGCTGTCGTTGCCTCTCGGCAGCACCGCTGTACTAATGCCAGCTGAGACTAAGTATGTCTGCTTCAACGAGGAGTGGATCCAGGCGCCTTGGAGCTGCGAGATTCACGAAGGTGGGTGTGAGCACAAATGCACCGTGAATCCTAACCACGAGTCCACGTGCTACTGCCCGCCGGGTCAAACCGTGAACCCCGCAAATAATGTCACCTGCGAGGTGATGGTGGACGACCCGTGCCTGCCGCTGCGGTGCGCGCACGCATGCATCAAGAACGGAGACTCCTACGAGTGCACGTGCGAGCAAGGGTACAAGCTGGCTCAGGACGGCAGGTCGTGCGTGGACCTCAACGACTGCAGGGATGAGAGGCAGTGTCCCGGGGAGAACTTTGTGTGCGTCAACCACATCGGAGGGTTCCAGTGCGTCTGCATGGATGGATACGCGCCGATCGGAGACCAGTGCGTCGACGTGGATGAGTGCGCGTCCGCTCCGTGTGAGCACCTGTGTGACAACACTCCCGGGAGCTACGCGTGCTCGTGCTATGATGGATATAAAGCAGACCCAAAGTCGATGCATAAGTGTAAACTGTACTGTGGGGTGGAGGAGTGCCCCGCGGAGTGCGACCCCAATGACAAGTTCCAGTGTTACTGCCCCGAGGGGTACATCTCGGAGGAGAGGGGCGAGCACACGGTGTGCATAGACATGGACGAGTGCGAGAACTCATATTGTGATCAAGCTTGTAAAAACACATTTGGCAGCTATGTGTGCTCGTGCTATCCGGGGTACATGCTGGTTGGAGAGTTCACGTGCGTAAAAAACGAAGATGGCACCGATGGAGGCTCTGGAGAGGGCACGACTCCGAGCATCCCCACAGCTCCACCCGTGCCCCATCCAGACCCCACCAGGCAGCCCTCCGCGGTTACAGTGGGGGGGCTCGTGGCGATTATAGTGTGCACTGTGTTCTTCATCGTGCTTGTGGTTTTCCTGGCGCACCACACGCTCAGCGGCAAAGGGAAGCTGGAGAGCAGCGGGGAGATGAAAGCTGCGGAGGAAGAGGCGCACGGTTTACAGACAGTGGCGAGTGATGCTTAAAGAAGGAGACAAGTGAAGCGAGACATGTGAATGTACAGGTCACCCTCCGAAACAATGCAGAGACAGTTTTGGATACCATTTGAATGATGTAGATGTATCAGGACACAGAAGAGGCCACTATACCATTTATTTCAGGACTAGGGCTGCATGCACAATTTGAAAAATAAATAGCTAATTTAAATTATTTTTGGATGACATTGCAATTGGCATTATGACCATATTTTAAACATTATCCAAATGATCATTGACAAACATAGTAAATTGAGGATCTGTTCCAAGCAAGGATATTTTTTTAATCAATTCTATCAAATACACGCTTGTAACCCGGGAATATACTTACTTCATTCAGACATGTTTACATATTTTGCCTTTACCAAATATTGGTTTTCTGAGATGTGGATATTGCATAGAACTATTTTGATTTCGTTCACATTTTTTGAATAACTATCCAGCCCATTCAGGACAGATGTTTTCTTGGAAGACTGGTGGTATAGCCTTCCATTCAACGCACATGCACCAGATGCAATGTAACACAACATGATGAAGTACTCCGTTTTATTTTTGAGTTTGTGCAAATATTAAATTATAAAAACGTAAATAAAGGAGGTGTCTATTTTTTCCCTCACAGGCTGAGGGCCCCATCTTGTGGAGAAACAAGTAAATGACAGGTCATTGTTCATAGGTTTTATTTGTCATATAGCTACAACATATTTCTGGCAATCAATATATTGAGTGAGGCTCCTAATGCAACATCAAATTGTGCAATAGACAACATTTTGCAGGAACAAGAAACAAATGTACATATTGAATAGAATAAGATGAAGCCGAATGGAAATACTGTGATGTAGCAAACAGTATACTGTAATAATATATACATATTTGGATATGAGCTCTATAAACAGATGTGCAGTGTGTTATTTACACAGAGTATGAATGGTGACTTCACAGAGCTCAGGAGCAGGGGTGTAGTGCTGCATCCTCTGAAAATACTCAAATCTACTACTAAAATCCAATATAGAGAGGTGTGTCTGCTGTGTACAGACTTTTATTCATTTCTGAGTGATTTGAAGTTATTAGGTCACATGAAAGGGAAGCTATTGAAAAAGAAAACCTGGATTTTCAATAAAGAATGTAATATTAAACACATGTGGTGCCGGCAGCATGGAGCTGCTCTGACACCTGCTGGACAAACAGTGGCACTGCACTATGAGCCGGGGTGCTTGAAGAAAACACTGCATTTTCAATACAAATATTAAACAAAGGATGTTAAAAAATCGAATATAAAGAGGTGTGTCTGCTGTGTACAGACTAGTATTAATTTCTGAGAGGGATTTAAAGATTGAAGGTCACATGAGAGAAAAACTATTGAGAGAAATACACTGAATTTTCCCCAAACATATTTAATCCAGGTTTCTTTTTCAATAGCTTCCCTGTCATGTGACCTAATAACTTCACATCACTTTCAGAAATTAATAAAAGTCAGTTCGCAGCAGACACACCTCTTAATATTGGATTTTAGTACTAGAATTTTACATTTTCAGTGGATTTGATCACGCAAAAAACCTGGGATGCGTACTGCAATTTTTAAAGTGTACTATACCCCTGGTTATAGATAATCTTGCTAAAGTAAAGGATTGGAATACCTCCTCCACCACTGGAAGCATTAGAAGTCAGAAGTTAGAAGGTATTACATTGGAAGATAAAGCTCTCAAAAAACAAGGGGACAGGCTGCTGCAACCAGATGGGAGAAGTACTCAGATCTTGTACTTGAGTAGAAGTACCAGAGTGTAGGAATAATCTGTTACAAGTAAAAGTCCTGTATTCAAAATGTATCAATTAAAAGTACAAAAGTATTAGCATCAAAATATACTTAAAGGACCAATCTTTTACTTTTGAAACTTTAAGTGTTCTTAAAGCTGGTAAAGGTGCAGCTAGTTTGAATGACTTTGTATACTGCAGGGTAGCTTGTGAATTTACTCCAGGTGGAACTAAAGTCTGATTTAACACTTGATTATATTTCACATCATTCATCCAGATCTGTAAAGTAACTAAAGTTATTAAATACATGTAGTGGTGGAGTAAATGTACACCATTAACCTCTGAATTGTAGTGGAGTGTAGAAGTACAAAGCACCTCAAAAATGTGCCTAAGCACAGTACTTGAGAAGATCTACTTAGTGACTTTAAACCACTGGTTGCAACTGGAGCAAAACAACGAAGAAAAATGTATTTGAAAGAGGAAGGAGATATTTGGGAACTTGCACCATATCCCGTCGGGTCTGAAGACCTGCCAGTGTTATCAGTGTTAGCTGTGTGTGGGGGGGCAGGCCGCAGGGGGAGGGGCAGGCAGAGACACAGGGAACAGCTCTCCCACTCTGGTCCGGGTCAAACACAGGTAAGATTCTCCTTTCATTACCACTGCAAAATACAAACTATAAAGACCATGTATGACCGCTCCTTAAACACGTTCTTTAGAGTCGCTGACACTTTAACTCATCTATATCCGCCGCTGAAAATAGTGCATTGTTGTGCAATAAACCGTGTGTGTGTCCCGTGCCAGGATCTCATTCAATGTGACGTGTAACACTTATTTTTAAAAGCATGTACATAATAGGTGAAGATATTAAAGGATTATGCTGTCATGGTGATGCGCAGGATGAATCTGATTAAAGTCATAAAGCTAAATGAGGAGCGCATGCGCAGTACCGCCCTGATATGTACACAGTACAGTTTATTTCAACACTATTTATACACACAACAGGAACAGCTGTAATCTCATCTGCCATATCATTTCACGAATATTTTTTTTAATTAAATATATTAAGTCACAGTTAGTCAGGAAGTCACTTCATTTGTGGTTGCTAACATTTCTGGTTTAACTTTGTAAACGTTGTACGTTTGTTTAACGCTATTTTATGTAACAAAAAACTGGAAAATGCATACAAATGATATGAAATATTACATATAAAAGTGCATGTGCAGTATATACAGAGGTGTAAAGTAACTAAGTACATCTACTCAAATAAAGTAGGCTACTTAAGTACAATTTTGAGGTAGCCTACTTGTACTTGAATTGAGTATTTCCATGTTTTGCTATACTTCTACTCCACTACAATTCAGAGGTAAATCGTGTACTTTTACTCCACCTCATGTATTTAATAGTTAGAGATCTGGTTGAATGTGAAACATAATCAAGTGTTAAATCAGACTTTAATTCCACCTGGACGTAAATTCACAAGCTACCCTGCAGTATAGTCATTCAAACTAGCTGAACCTTTACCAGCTTTGATAACACTTTCATGATCAATCATTATCAAACATATCATATATATTATTCTGAAATGGACCAATCTGCACAATGAATACTTTTACTTTTGGTACTTTAGGTATATTTTAAAGCAAATACTGTTGTACTTTTACTTGAGTAACATTTTGATTGCATTACTTTTACTTGTAACAGAGTATTACACGCTGGTACTACTACTGTGACTCAAGTACAAGAGTATACTTCTCCCACCACTGAGTATATATTTTTATATTTTAAAGTTGGTAGAATAACCTCATCAGTTGTGATTATTAATGTCCTATAGCAACAATGTTTGCAATTCCATAAAGTTAAAAACAAGAATGGTGAAACTTCATTCATCAGAGGCTATGTCCAATTTTGGCAGCTCCTTTTGTAGAGACCATTCCAATTACAACTTCATTTCCCATAGTGCACTGCAACCACCTGAGAGCATTTATATAGAGCATTTTTGTCAGCTTTTAGAAAGCTCCCCAAGAGCACAGAAAGCTTGTGATGTGTAAACTGAAGTACGCTTCTAATGTATATTTTAGAAAATTAAGGAAATGTCCATTTACTGAAATACTTGTGGATTGAAAATGACAACGAGGTAGGGTTTGGTTTGGAGGGTTACTCAAATGGAATCCGTTATATTTACTCGTTACCTGTAAAAAATAAAAATAAAGTAATCAGTACATTAATCTTAGTTTCAACAAATACAAATAATGTAACCTGATTACTTTCCGTTAATTTTGGATTACCTCAATATGCAGGCAAATAAATTACAAGAGAAAATAAATATGTGAATAATGTAAGACAACAACAATGTGACCATAGGAAAGAAGAAACCAAAATATTTAGTAGCAGTATAGCCTATATACACCAAAAATTAAACACATGAGCACATAGTTTAAAAAAGCAGAAATCCAACCTGAGCTGACAGAAAATGCCCAGTTTTAGTTTAATACACACAGTGAAGCTCACACACACTATTAATAAATATGATATAGGTTCTACTGAATTAAAAACAGAACAGTAATCTGATCATATTTTCTTCTGCAACTAAGTGAATACTGTTTTTTGTATCCTAACTACCTAATCCTATTATATGTAATCCGTTACTCCCAGGGCCGTCCCTCCCTACAGGCCGATCATGCAGACTGCGTGGGGCCTCATCTTGCGGAGGGTGCCTCAACTGAGCCGAAAATGCGGCGCACCTATGCGTTTATGCGGCGCAATTAGTGTGGTCTTGCACGGTTTTGACTCTGCGAGGCTCCACTAGCACCTCACATGTTAGTCAATGGGAAAAAGTATTTCTGGGCCCAGCGACTGATATGAAAGTGTAGTACCGCCGTTTGGCCACAACGAATATTTTCCTCAGAGTCCGGTGCACTTCATGGGGGCTTGATGTGCACCCCTGATTAAATCAGTGGTTGTGTACAGACTGAAGCTGCACCAGTGAACAATAAACCTTCCGAAGGAAACATCTGACAGTTTCCCCTTTTTGTTCTTCCCACATACCTACCTGTCCATAAATCACATTCTTGAAGCGTCACTAATGTTTGACTTTCTCTTCATGTTAGGCCGAAGTCAGGCAGGATGTGGACGTCAGCTCTTCAGTTGGTTTTCATTGGTTTTTACCTTCAGGTATGTGTGTGGCTTTTAGCTCAAATTGATTAGTTTCACTGTTTTACCAAACTGAACAGTTGACAGTAAAGTGAAATTCAGTAAAAAAACAACAATCTAAAGCTAATCTGATGCTGGACAATAAATAAATAAAATGTTTATATCTTTTGAAAATATGCTTAAATTCAAGCCAAATTACTCTCTTGTCGAGAATCAGATGCTGTAGCAATAAATTAGCTTAGCTTAGAACAAAGACTTTAAACAGATGGAAACGGCTACTATGGCTCTGTATGAAACGTAACACAAACTGGCCAATCGGCATTTTTAGGGTTGACTAATCAAACTGTTTGTAAGGATTTATCAAAAGCTTAATCATTGCCTTTCTCTGTTTGCAGTCTTGATGCTAAGCTAAGCTAACCGACTGCTGGCTCCACTTTCACCTTATCTAACTCTCAGCCAGAAAAAATAAAACAGGCATATTTCCTGAATTGTCAAATTATTCCTTCATCTTAAAAGTCCAGTGATTCTTTATTTACACAAATGTTGGCTGCAGGTACCCACATGCTACCCATCATGCACTTTTCACGGCCTTGTGGCGGATTGCCCCTCGAGAAATCACTACTGGGTTCCGACTCTGCCTCCCAACATCACCCACCTCTACCTGCAGATGAACTTCATCAGTGAGATCAACAGCAGTTCGCTCAGAAACTATGACCATCTTCAACAATTAGATCTTGGGATGCAGAAAGTGCCGCTCGTCTTAAGGAACAACGCTTTCCTTAGGCAGAGAAAATTGACAACACTGGTCCTAGGCTCCAATATTGGCCTTCAGATGGAGCCAAGGGCATTTGCAGGACTGTTTAATTTACAACACCTCTTTTTGGACTATTGCAATTTGCCGGACTCCATACTAGCAGAACGCTACCTTGAGCCCCTTTTGTCCTTAGAAACTCTTGATCTCTCCCTTAATAAAATAGTGAGACTCAGACCAGGACTGTACTTTTCAAAACTTACAAAGTTCACACAGCTTAACCTCAAATTGAACCCGATTGAAACATTATGTGAAGATGATCTAGTTGGTTTCCGGGGAAAATACTTCAAACTCCTGAATTTGAAATCTAATAAATTTTATAGGGGTTATAGTGAAGATTTTGACTGGAAGAAATGCGGGAACCCTTTCACAGGGATGGCCTTTGAAGTCCTTGACTTATCCAGCAGTGGGTTCAACACGAAAACATCAACACACTTTTTCAAAGCAATAGAGGGTACTCCAATTACTCATCTTATATTCTCTGGACACCTTGGCAGAGGCTTCTCGTTTTCCAACATTCCTGATCCAGATGAAAGCACATTTGAAGGCCTCATGAACAGCTCTGTCAATATTCTAGATCTGTCTAAAAGCCGTATATTTGCTTTGCAGAAGGCAGTTTTGAGTCCCCTAAGGAATGCAATAATTATTGACATTTCCCTGAACAGAATCAATCAGATTGACCAAAATGCCTTCAATGGTCTTCAAGGACATTTAAGGATGCTTAACCTGTCATACAACCTCCTAGGAGAAGTATATTCTTACACATTTACCAATCTCAATGACCTCCGGGTGTTGGATTTGTCTTACAACCACATTGGTGCATTGGCACCCAAAGCCTTCAGTGGTTTTCCAAAGTTACGAGCGTTATATCTGACAGGAAATTCCCTCAGAGTCCTTGGCTCTCCTGCCGCATTACCAAACTTAGATTATCTTCTTTTGGGTGACAATAAGCTTAAATCTCTGTATGGAATCAGCGAATTTGGCAGCAACAGTATCCATTTGGATATAACAAACAACAGATTAACAAGTTTAGAGGATGTTTATGTCATTTTAACTTCTTTCAATCGTCTCCAAAATTTCTTCTATGGTGGCAACATCATCAAGTGGTGCACAATGAGTCTGAATGTGCCTCATATTCGTTTGGAAGTGCTGGATCTTCATGACAGTTCCTTGAATGTCTTTTGGGCGCGGGGGGAGTGCCTCGACCTGTTTGATCATTTAGACAATCTGCTCGGTCTAAATATAAGCTATAACTCCATTGCGACTTTCCCAAAAGGGATTTTTAGCGGTTTAAGCTCAATCTATGAGATGGACGTATCATCTAATGCCTTAACGTATCTGCAGCAGGATCTCTTTCCGACCACCCTGAAAAGACTGGACCTTTCGGACAACTTTTTAGCCTCCCCGGACCCTGTGACTTTTCTGTCTCTCAGCTTCCTCAGTTTGGCTGCAAATCGGTTCTACTGCGATTGCAATCTAGAGAGCTTCCTGAAGTGGCTGAACGTGACGAATGTAACCTTCGCAAGCCCGACTGAGGAGTACAGATGTGAGTTCCCAGCCGCTCTTCGAAATCTCCCTCTGGGGAATTTCTCCAGGGTCATCGAACCGTGTGAGGAAGACGATCCAAAGGCCATCCAAAATCTTCAGTTGGCACTGTTCATCTTCAACGCTGTCCTCGTCATCACTGTCATCCTCAGCGGGTTTATTTACGCCCGTCTCCGAGGACACATATTCATCATCTACAAAACCATCGTTGGTAGGGTTCTCGAGGGCCCAAAACCGAACCTTCCTGTGGACGAAGTGCAGTACGATGCCTTCCTCAGCTTTAGTGAAAATGACTATGGGTGGGTGGAAGCAGCTTTGCTGAAAAAGCTGGATAACCAGTTTTCCGAGGAGAACCTCTTCCGCTGTTGTTTCGAGGCCAGAGACTTCCTGCCTGGTGAGGATCACCTGACCAACATCAGGGACGCAATCTGGAGCAGCAGGAAGACTGTGTGCGTGGTCTCCAAAGAGTTCCTTAAAGGTACAGTATTTCTAACTCTGATCTGTAGTAACAAGCGGCTGTAGTCTCCTTACAAATTGTCCTTGAAATACTTTCCAGGAATAGTTCGACCTTTGCAGATTCATTCCCTTTCGTGAGAAGGAGATGCCATTAATGTGCTTGGGAATGTCATTTAACACCCCCTGAAGATATTGTTTTAACTAACCACCAGTGGTTGAACTTCTCACCTAGCTGCAGTGATTTACAAATCTGAATTGTAAAATGGCTGGGCTATTTCTTTGAAACAGTGGTTTATGAGTGTTGTCATCTCTATGACATTAGCAGGCAACCAGCAGAACCTTCAGGAAGTCCCACCTCCCAGCCAAGAAAGTAGTGAGATGGCACAAAACTCCAGAACTTTCAGTTTTTACGCTAAGCTAAGCTAAGCTAACAATCTCCTGGTTGTTTCATATTTTGGCTAAAATATATGGAGTTGTATTCTATATCTTAGCTAACCTTGAGCAAGAAAGTGAAATAGCACTTTGTCCCCAAAAGATAAAATGAATAACCAAATGAAAATAAAATAGGTTAACTGTTTCGTTCCTCTTTTCAGATGGTTGGTGCTTGGAAGCGTTTACTTTGGCTCAGAGCCGGATGCTGGAGGAGCTGACAAACGTCCTGGTTATGGTGGTGGTAGGCAAGGTGTGTATAAGGCTGCTGACTTACTTTCTTTACACCACATTTCTGAAAGATTTTATTTACATATGTCTAGCAATATCAGATTTTTGGGAAATTGGGGGCAAGGGAAACTAGCCATTAGCAAGCATTTGCGTATTGACACATTAAAGAAATAATGAACCATATTATCTGGGGTCTGTCTTCTTACCACATGAAACATTGAAAATATTATATTTTCTCTGATCTTTGAGTTCTGGTTCTTGCCCCCAAACCCTGAGGGGAATATCTGGCGCTAATATGTTAAATACTACATTGTGTTTACTAGCTAGTTGCTCACTTTTCTTTCCAGCTTTGGTGCACCGTGAAAATCACTTGACAGAAAAGTGGTCTGCTGGCATTAACAATCTTGGTGAGAATGAACCAAAAATATGATTTATGGACAGTCAAAACAGAACAATGAGGCGATAGATGCTTTAAAGCTCCATAGAGCTGAAGGAACCTTCAGAGTCCGGCTCAACAACACAAGTGACGACTACAAGTAGTCACGTGATCATTGGAAAAATATAGATAATAGCTACTTTAAAGAGTAACCAAACCTAGTTTTATGTACAAAACTCACCATCTGCTATTATCCCATCTTTAGCCCCAAAGATAAGCGTATAACTGGCATTTGTGTAACTCCCTCCCACCCGTAGATGTCAGGCTCCGTACATATTCCATTCATCATTGCTTAACTCCTGACCTTCACTAATGACTTGTATCTTCTAATAAAACCCAAGATGGCTCACTACCAGCTGATGAAGTACCACGCAGTCAGAGCTTTCGTCCAGAGGAGGGAGTACCTGACCTGGCCGGAGGACCCTCAGGACCTGGAGTGGTTTTATGAGCGGCTCGTCTCAAAGATTCTCAAAGACACAAAGGTGAAGAAGTTTGCAGAGGACCAACCTGAGCCTGCACAGCCTGACGCCCAACCGCAGGAGCAGGAGGGAATCCAGCTGGAGAACATCGGACCAATCCCATGTCAACTCTGATTGTTAAAAAGATCGTACTTTAACCAAGAAAACCTGATGGTACCAACATCCCCCCTGCTGAAGTGTCTCCAGAAAGCAAGCACACAGGCTTCTTTGCACTTTAAATGGTCTTTTCTGATTTTCAAGAAATAAAAGGAAATGGGTATACCAACTTTAGACAAATTAAAGGCCTCCTTAAAAGGCCCTTTGTATTTCAGTTTCACATAACTAAATCCAGAACCCTCTGTTGTCTTTTAGTTTTCATGTATTTAGCAAATATGTGACATGGCATGAAATCTATTTAAAAATCCTTTTTCTATTTATTTACATTTTTTTGTAATTGCCCCTTTCGCAGTATTCCATGACCCAATGACTACAGTAACATAAATAATGTTAATTGTTAATGCTGAAGAGAGAAAGTGTGTTTTAATCTCTGCAGGTGGTGAGAACTGCAGCTGAAGGCAGACCTGAACTTAGGTGTATTCAGGGAAGTGTGTACAGAATAATAACTCCCGTAATTTGTTATTTCTATTAATACTGTAAAAACACGTTTAATCAAATTTGATTTCATTTTTTATTTGTATATCTTATATTAATTTTTTCCTATGTATATTCCGTGTGTGAAATATGTGTTTCTTCTTATTCTGTCGCTGCCTTTACACGTGAATTTCCCCCAGCGGATTAATGAAGGTCCATCTTATCTTATCTTGATAACATTATATCACTTTGTATGTAAAGTCATTTTTTTAATAAACTGAAGAAGCTTCATTTTCCAGCATGTTCCTCCTTGTGGATTGGTATCATCAGCTTTCTGAGAGTTTACATCAAATAAAATAATGTATTTATTATGGTATTTGTACGAGCCAAAATGCCCTTGAGCCTGAGTTTATTATTTGTATTATTATTATTATTTGTTTACATCATTTTTACTATTTTCGCCACTAGATGGAGAGTGTTAACTGTCTTTACTGGCTCTACCATAGACTATACATATACATTATAAAGGGCTCTACATGTCAGTCTTGAGTGGCGGTGTCCAAACCTTTTTCACTGAGGGCCAAATACAGAAAACATACTAAGGTCTGCTCCACTAGCTAAAGGTGAGGCATATTGCCTTATAGGTTAAGTTATAGGTTAGCAAAATCAATCACATGTAGATAAATGATACTTGAATATGCTTTAACAAAAAAAACAGCATCCCAGCTTTCCATAGGGTTTCATTTATTTTCTTGGCAGCTCATCCCTTAAAACAGAAGCCTCAGATTGCTTATAATAAGGGGAAATATGAAGGGTATATTTCAAGCTTGTAATGGAAATAAGTCATTTTTTCTTATTACCTAAGATTTGTTAGAAAATGTTTTCAACTTTAACTGATCAAATGTATTTGACATTTGGCTTATTATCACATGAATGCTACTGTGTAATATATGTTCACATATATATATATATATGGGGGCCATATTCCTTTATACTTTTAGAATTTGCTAAGAGCCGATTCAAAATGGACCACAGGCCGCATTTGGCCCCCGGGCCGTAGCTTGGACACCCCTGGTTTTAAGTGATCAGTGTATTAATTAGTAAGTCAGTGAAAACAGATTTTAATGTACTGGGTGTGTCATTTTCAACTCCTTTCATTAAAAAAATGTCATTAAAGCCCTCACTTCAAACAGCAGCATCTCCCCAGGTTCCTGTGTGTGTCGTAGTGTGAGAGGAGAGTGACCCGGGGTCAGCAGGTTCCCTCTCTCTCATTGAGCTGTGTGTCAGAAAACAGGAAGCCACTGGTCAGAGGAGAGCTTCCGTCTTGTTGGCCTGCATCCTCCCGTCTTTATGACAGTCCATAATGTGAACTCAGAACCACAATAACATCTAGCTCACTCACTGGTATTCTGCGGTTGTTTCAATGTTTCTCTGTTTCTACAAAAAAGACAGTTTTGGAACTTGATCTTGTCGTCAGAAACCCGAAAAAAGTTAGTGGGTATTATTTGAATATACTTGCTGTATGAAGGCCCAGAATATAGAAGCGTTTTGGATTTAGGACTAAATACAAATGACAATAGGATGTTGATTTCTCACTTCAGGTCCAATATGCAATTTGAATTTGTATTGTCACTACTACAATGGGCTTTCTCTAAAAAATATGATGTCAAATGGATTCTCATTTATTTGAATATTGTTGAGAAACAACATTTTTATGGTTTAAACTATTACAAATGTGTATTAAATATTTACAATGCCATTTTAAATGATTCAGGTTTATTGCCAAGTAGGTTTACACATACAAGGAATTAGCTTTTTGTGTCAAATGGTGCATTTATTAACACAGTAAGAGGTATTTAGTTGTAAAAAAGAAGCAAATATAGCTATTAAAAAACTATTTTTAAAACATATGGAAGATTAAAAATGCTTTAACTGTTTTACAAGCAGTAAACATTACCTACAGGTAAGTGCAAAGAGAATAGGATGTATTACCCTGTAAATATGTACAGTAAATAAGGGACTAAAATGGAAGAGCGGTGCAGTTTAAAAAGAGATACAATATTTGAATGGCAATTGGACATGGACATATCTGTACATGGCAGCTGGTAAACATCTGTTAACGACCCTGTGTAGGTTTATGAACCACGTTAAGTGCACACCAAATAACCAGGATGTTAATGTGCAGCATTATAGCAGTAGTCTATAGAACAACAATAACAATAAACACAATTGTAATGTGCATTATTATATACCATTATATATGTAAGCCTGTTTATAAACCCCATTCAAAAGAAATGTACCAGTAATCAGATTACATCTTTTGTTCTGAAACTGTAAGGGACTAGTTACCTTTTGATGGTATCCTATACCGATCTGTTACTCCTCAAATCTGGTGTTCAGGTAAATCACATTTATTTCAAGACTAATGTTACACAACCTATGTATCTAAAAGACATGTATGGGCACACCATGTCATTATTAGCAAAGAAAGAAAGGAAATATGCAATAAATAAAAGATTTAATTCGTGCCAAGCCCAATAAAAAAAGGTGATAAATCCCAGAGTGAAATTAATGTCATCTTTATTCATTTTAATATAAAAGAAACAAAGAAAATGATAAGAAAAAGGATGAAGTATTGTTTTTCCTAACAATCCATTCGATTTGTTTAGAAGTAACTTCACAATGTGTGCTGTATCTTTCTGCCTTTTTGATCGACAGAGAAGGCAATCCTCCTCCCTGACTCTGGACCAGTCCGGCGGCTCGACTGAAATCAAATTTGAAAAGTGGAAGCAAATGTTTACCTTGTAAACAAGCTCTCCGGCCTCTTCAGTTATTTCAGGCCTGCAGGATATACTTAGAACAGACACACATGCTTCTGAGATTCTCCCTCTCAGGGAAATGTAATAAACCTGCCCCACAGCCACAGCTAATATTTGACCTATGTTTAAGCAAATATAATTACAGGGATGCTCACGCAGGCCGGGGGGGGAGATCCTCTGCGGGAAGTGGACTCATCTTCACTGAGATTGAGAGGAGAAGAAAGGCAGCCATGGGAGACAAACTGATCTCTATGAGCCAAAATAAGATCTTTCCTTCAACACAGTCGCATCAAGCGAGCCCAGTGTGGGTGGCTGCCTTACGTAATGTGTTTTATGGGGCTTGTTTGTTTGTGGGAGTTTTTTCTGGGGTTAAGGGGTGTCGCAGTGATGAGAGGAAAGAACTAGCAGCAGCATAGCGGTACTTTTCCTCTGACACCATCAGCCTGCCGGGGGTGAAATGTTTTTAGGCTCCAGCGGCTCTTTTCCAGCGGCTCCTTCCAGCCAGTTGTGGTTGGAAGAAGTTGAAACTAATGCCTTGTGATGAGTTCATCACATTTCCACAGGAGCGCCCCTCCGCTAACACTATGTGAAAAAAAGATCTGAAATAATAAAGCACTACATTTGAGATGTCAAAGCAGGCAGCACTGAACGATAGTGAGAACAACATGGCTGTGAAATTCCACATCCAGAGAAATGAAGCTGGCTCTGGAGTTTACTGGATTTTGTTCCAAAGAGAGAATAAGACTATCGTCGAGCCAAAAAGGGGATCATCTCTTTTTTTTTACCAAGTGTGTGTTTCTTCATATAAACAAACATTGTAAGTCAAACATTAGCGCTAACTTGGCAGTTAATTGCAGAGGAGCAAAGAGACATGGATGATTTAAATGCAGCGAGAATGGCAACACCTTCAGCCTGTTTGGATGTAAATGTCAAAAGTTAAGAAAGCTGAGGGTGATTTGAGAAGGATAACATCAGTAGCTTATAAGCTGAGTGGTGAACATGTGACCTAGAGACAATCATTGCCAGAGGTGAAATGTAGTGAAGTACATTTGCTCAAATACTGTACTTAAAGAGGCCCTATTTTGTTTTTTAGGGTTGTCCCTTCCCTGTAGTGTGATACAGGTTGTAGTGCATGTTAATGGTCTGCAGAGGCTAACATCCCTGTGTTCCCTCCAGAGGGAGTTTCTCTCCCACACTCCCCCCCTGCCTGAAACACCTCCAATGGACTTCTTTGTTTACTTCTGTAACATAGTGACAACACTACACTTGCACTTCTATTGGCTAGCACTCCAACACATTATTTGTCATAGGCTAAGGGGCGAGACATCTCTAAGCCAGCTAACCAATCAGAGCAGACTGGGCTCTGGTTTCAGACAGAGGGTGAAAAGAGGTGCTGCAGCACAAGCAGTATGAGAACAATAAAGAGCTTTTTGAACATTAAAGCATGGAGACATGTCCCAGGAGAGACACTACATACTGATATAACCTGAAAGTGAGGATAATATGTCCATTCTGAACAGTTCCTGAGTAAATATGCTTCAGATGGACTTGTTGCTTTAAGAAAATCTGAGCTGTATCACAGACTGTAACGCAAGTATACAAGAACATGAAGAGCAGAATAACCTCCGGCCAGATGGAAGAGATCGCTCTGAGGGAGTCAGCAGTAATGACACAATGAAACTGGTGTTACGATTGAAGATATCTCTCAACAGAGCCTCATCTTATTTTATGGCGTGTGTATGTGTGTACACAAGATTGAAAGAGCAGACAATAAAAGCCAGAAGTGATAAAAAAAGACATTTTAATCATCTTTTATCTGAGGCCAAGTTGAAAGAAAACAGGCACGCTGAATTTTAAAACCAGCTCCCACAGATACAAAAAGTGTCGAGGGGTATCAGCTTGTAAAACGTGGCACATTTCTGTCATTGTTGATGTTATCATCTCTGACAACATTTAATAGTAATTACACACAATATCACAATATATACTATACCATTTCATGTGGGTGCAAATGGCTGCTGCAGGAGTACATTTAACACTGAAGTTAGCAACATTTCATGGAGGGGTGAAAAGATCAGGTCCCATTATGATATAGCTTTAACAAATAGTGTGTGTTTGAGTGGAAAACATATGCTATTGCATGTGAAAGTAGAAAAAGAAACATGTCAACAGATTATATTTAGCGGGTGCTGTTTTATGAAACACATTGAGGCACTTGGTCAGCATCAGAAACCTTGTTTGATTGCACATACATTTTAGTGTTGGTCGTTCCTTTTTTTGAACATTTGCCATTTGTTCTGAAATGAGTGTTATTAATACAATGTATCATCAACACAAGCTTTCCGAGGAGGGATTGGTGTTTATTGCGATAGGAGGCACGCTGGTGTCAGTTTTTGGGCCGTTAAACTCTGAAGCTGAATTGCACTTCACTTTCAACGTCCTGTTAAAACAGTAGAGTTTCTTTGGCGAGGCGGAGGACGCC